AGTGTATTCAAGGTGGCACAACCATCACACTGCGCAAAGCGATAAACGCCTTCTGAATACAGCCGCCACTGGCGCTGCGCAAACATAATGCCTGGATACGAGCTGTAGCCGCGTCGCACATTGCACTAGATTGTGTCCCCACCGCACTCAAAGCCCAATCAAACAGCAGGTGCTTGTCATTTCATGGGTGTCCTGAGTCGATCCGCAACATGGCCACTAACCAGGCCCACCTCGTGCGGCAGCCTGGCTGAGAACGCATACACAGTGATGCACAACAGCGTGCACGCCCAATATCAATGTCAGAGTAGAGTATTCACTAGCGACGGGCGACTAGATCATCAGCGGCGGTACCACCCACGCCGCCGAGTCCATAGGGGTGGCCGGCCGCTGCCGGCTCGGCACCCTCGCCCTGCGTCACCTGGTCCCTTCGGTTCTCTAGCCGTCGGAAGCCCCGACGCCCACTGATTCCGGGCGCGCCGATACATTGTTGGATAGTGGAATAGAACAACGTGCGTGGACACTCAAGCACACATGGTTCCGTGATAAAGCTAATAAAAACTTTCCATAATCACAAGGAAGCCTCTACGTTTTCACCCTGGCATCCGATCCGTTCCGACCATAAAAGCGATCCGTCCCGACCCGCATGATCTTGACCGGTCTAATCTGACTAAAATCACAACAGAGTAACCATCCTCAAACTGAACAGTCGTCTGCCCCGGTGCCGGGCACAACCGGGTGTCTCGGCGTCCGCGCTGCGTCATCCGGCGCGCCACCCGCTAGTGCGCGCGGCCGAGGGGCGACACCTCCCCACTACCGGCCGCCCTCCTCCGACGAGCCCTCCGACTCTTTCCTGGCGCGGGACTCGGAGCCCTCCGACGACAGGAAGTCGGTGGAGGCGGCGCCCAGCACCGCCGAGTCCTCGCCCAGCAGGTTACACAGCTCCTGCGGCGCGCACGGACTGTCAGCTCCGCGGTGCTGGACGGCGACCGGCAGGCATCGCCAGTGGGCCCGCTGGCGGCCGCCACGGCAAAACTTCACCATGAGGCGCTTTGTGTACACTTCAGATGCTCAGTGCGATGCTCAGATTTGTACACGCACTGAATGCTGGACACTGCTATATGATACAAGGCCCGAACCAGAGACTCAAGAGCAAAAACATCACACCATAACAGTGTTCCGCCGTTCAGTCAGCCCGCTGGCGAGACGCTCCCGTCTCGCCTCAAACCTCGCCCATTGGTTTCCGTCGGGGCCCGACTGGTGCAGGGCGGCCTAGCGCAGCCGCCGCCGCCGCCGCTGTCTCGCCTCAAACCTCGCCCATTGGTTTCCGCCGGAGCCCGACTGGTGCAGGGCGGCCTGGCGCAGCCGCCGCCGCCGCCGCCGGTATCTCGCCTCACCTGCAGCCGCTCCTGCATCTTGGGCACGCCGCTGAGCTGCTGCTCCAGCGACTGTTTCTCGTCCTTAAGCGAGAGCCGCGTCTCGGTGTTGAGCTCCTCGAACCGCCAGCCGCCCTCGCCGTCGAACTGCAGCAGGTGCGAGTGGTACGGCCTGCGGGCGAGGGGCGGCGCGCGTCACCGGGGTAGCAGCGGCGTCTCTCGCTGAGACGAGGCACCACCTCAGCCAGAAACAGCCTGCGGTGGTGCACATCTCGATAGGGAGGGAGGCGTTGGCCGGCGTGTGGCTGTGGTGGTTCATGAGGTAAAGTTCAGCAGGATTTGGTATTCGCATCACGTGTTCCGCATGATTTGTGATCCCTTTCCCAAACACTGATCAGCTTAATGAGCAATAACGAACTAGCTAGCCTACAAATTCGTCATCCGAAAAGCTGCCAGTTGTAACTGTAGCTTGGTTGTACATTGGATCATGTACCTTAGTTGGTTATCTGATTACATGGATTCCAGCCTTCCGACCAACCACAATCATTTCGAGGCTACGGGATGAGGGAGACTGGATAATGGTGGGGAAGAATTAAACGCGCCTGGGGGGGGGGGGGCAACCAACGAACCCTAGCCCGCGGCATGGGCCCCTCTACGGGCCACGCGCTGGGCGTCTGGTCGGGGCCCCCCTCCAGGGGCCTCAACCCATTTGTGGCCGCTTATTTCGAACAAGCGGAGCGTCACGAGGATGCAGGATGACGCAAGGAAGAGGATAAGAGGGTCGGATCAAGCATATACCTTGATAAAAACTGCAAACACACATGTACATAGAACATGCACACAGGTACATCTCTGAGGCACAAATGGTAAAAACTGTACGCCGCGCTTTTCTGAAGCCTAAAAATGTTCAGGAGAGCCGGTTTTTCTTGCTCAGTACAACAACTTGTGTCGCAGGTGTAGCACCAAAAATTATGCCACTTGGAATCCCCAGAGTGCAGCGTATTTGATGGAAATAATATGTTCTAGTAAAGATGACACATTTTCTGCAGCTAACAACGTTTCTTATGTCAAAAGTTTATCCCACCATATTTGAGTATGCAACGGTAAAAATCATAGTCATTTTTGGCATGGCAAAACAGATATGTCGCGGACGGATGACATCGTGTTTCAGCCGCAGATAGATGCAAAACCGTTAAATGCACTAGCACTTTTAAATGCATTGACAAAAACACGCAAGTGCGTTACAAGCATATTTCAATGGGAGCGGCCTACTCAGATTTTCAGACCCCGCTGCGCGTTTCGAACCAATTTTGCATCACTCGCCATCATTTATTCATTTCATCATTTGCCGAGTTCAGAGGCCTTATGCTGACAATTACCAAACTTCTAAAACCAAGTAGCACTGGTTACACGACTTTAACAAGCTGTCTGGACCACCGAGAGCGCGGCTATCTGGACCGCCGTGAGCGCGGCTATCTGAACCATCGTGAGCGGGGCTATCTGAACCGCCGTGAGCGCGGCTATCTGGACCGCCGTGAGCGCGGCTATCTGGACCACCGTGAGCGCGGCTATCTGAACCACCGTGAGCGCGGCTATCTGAACCACCGTGAGCGCGGCATCATTACCGAGTGAGCACAGCACGGTGTGGCGTACGTGGCGCCTGCTAAACATACAAGCGCTCTGTGGTGCATCACGACCGGCGACACGTAGCATTTGCCATGCCCCGTACAGGTGGGTACATCTATCTAATATTCTGCCGCAGATCTATTGCTCATCTGAAGTGCGCGTGAATTGTCCCAGCTCCTGACAACCCGTGAATAGACTTTCTTCCGCATTACATTTCAACTGATCGTCTTTTTAGAAGGAATGCATTCACACGTACCGTTAAACATACTTGAGTTACATTTTAACAACCTGCGCCGACATCATTGGTTGGCCTGTGGGCCATCATTGGCCCGTTGATTCGTGAAATAAAAACCTTGTGATCGCATCAATAGGCATGTGGTTTCGCACGTCATTTGGACCTCCATGATGCACGTTTTCCTTTGAGCTGAAACACAGCCATTTGTATTTATTATAACAACTGCATGATCAACCCGATTTCGCCTTTTCACGCCCAGCTGCAGCTTTGTGAAATTGGCCTCAGCTCATTAAAAGGGGAAGATCGGTGACAGGAAATAGTGGCGACATCACAACTGGCTAAACGGGAAAAGGTATCGGGTTACCCATGGCTGTAATTCACCAAGGGGGAGCCCAATGGATACTGGTGATGATGTAACTACACAGAGGATCTAATGGGCATCACTGGGGCTGAACCTCGCCACAGGGAGGCCGACGGGGTGGCGGCGAGGTCGCAGCTCACCAGAGGGGAAGACGGCTGACCGGTGAGTGATGGTGCGGATGCAGCTCATCAGAGTCGGTGGGGTTGATGTTGACCATTGACTCACCAGAGGGAAGGCCGGTGGTGATGGTCAGCAGGGTGATGTTGACCATTGACTCACCAGAGGGAGGGCCGGTGGGTGACGGTCAGCAGGGTGATGTTGACCATTGACTCACCCAGAGGAAGGGCCGGTGGGTGATGGTCAGCAGGGTGATGTTGAGCCATTGACTCACCAGAGGAAGGGCCGGTGGGTGACGGTCAGCAGGGTGATGTTGACCATTGACTCACCAGAGGGAGGGCCGGTGGGTGACGGTCAGCAGGGCTGATGTTGACCATTGACTCACCAGAGGGAGGGGCCGGTGGGTGATGGTCAGCAGGGTGATTGCCGGCGTCCTTGCCGACCTGGAACATCTTGCCCTCGACGTCGATGCTGACAGCGCTAGTGCACCTCGTCGAGCAGGCGTACTGGGGGTCTGCCCAGACGCGCGTCCACAGTCAACACAACGCCCCGACCTTCAGCTTACCACGCTACGCGTGTGCCGCCCGTGCTTACTTCCGTAGCAATATCGGACGCCGATCGCAGCCTCCGGGCAATGCGTCGGACACAGCAGCGCACTGCGGCGTCAGCGGATCGGGCTACGCGAGTCAATGGCATGCAGATAACACCCAGGCATCGCAGGGCGGGCCAAGAAGACATTCACACACCGTCCGCATTTTGCAGCGATCCGTCTGAGTAACAGGGCACATGGCTACCTGACTGCTCAGCGCCCCGGCTCCGCCCTCCCTCACCGGTGGTAGAAGAGTCGCGCCATGCCCATGCGCTGCTTCTCGCCGCCCGAGAGGATGTCCTTCCAGTCGCCGAGCGCGTCCCAGCCGCCCTCGCGCTCCAGCAGGTAGCTCAGGTGCACCACAGACAGGATGGCGGCCAGCTCGGTGTCGGAGAAGCCGCGCGACCGCATCACGGCCACGCTGTCCGGGTAGATGACCTGGTCCCGCAGCGAGCCGATCGACATGTACGGCCTGCGGGGCAGCCGAGCGCCGAGCCGGGTCAGCTCGAGGGCCGCCAGGGTCGGGGGTCGGGGGCGCGCGCCGCCGATGACGCCGCGCGGACTTGCACAGCGCGGGGCTCGGGACGCGCCGCGCCAGCTGGATTTGCAGCCAGGCGTGCTTCAAGTCGGGCGTACTGATGGGTTGTGCGCGAGCAAACACGGGACGAGCCACTGCGTTCTTGCCCACATTGATAAAGTTTATGCTGTCGCACAAACACGCAACAGTCTGCAGCCGATATTCGACCGGTCTACGAGGCGGCACCGCTCCGCCAACGGCCAGGGTACCCCTGGCTGCTACCTACGGTCACCGACGCACGGTCGCCATCGTCCAGACGGTTTACGACGGTGGCGGCACGGCTCCGCTAACGGCCAGGGTACCCCTAGCGGCTACCGTACGGTCACCGACGCACGGTCGCCATCGCCCAGACGAACGCAACGGTGGGTAATTGATGAGACGCCCGCCTGACCCCTGCTCAGCAGGAGTCGGCATCAGATATCAAAAGCCGTATCTACCCTGGACCTTCGTCTGTCACCAGCAATAAGCACGCAGTGAACACGACGGTGATGAGACCTGAACACCCATGACAAGTCCGGAAGCGTTGGGAGCGGCCAACTCCTCGATGCCGCACATGGAGACTCGTTACATCAAAGGCCGCATGGAAGTGAACATGACATGCTTCCGACTCGCGGATGTGCTTTTAAGAGAGAACTTTGGTCAAAGGATTCGCAGGAAAGACTTTCAGATCACAGCCCCCTCTATGCATAGCTCGCTGAGCGCACGCTGATCGTACCACTCCAGTGAGGCCAGCTCAATTCAACGGTTAATTCTCGTTGACAGCTTCATAAAGTTGGAAGTCTAAAAAGCAATACTATGACGTGATGTTTGACACCCTGTTTCAGCCTGACCCGGCGCCTATCTCACGACGGATCGCCAGGGGAGTGCCCGCCGTCAATTCTGAGACGGGAGCCCACACGCCTGGCACAGATCAGTCAGCGACGTGCCACATCGCCGTCACTTCTGAGACGGGAGCTCACGCGCCTGGTACAGATTAGTCAGAGACGTGCCACATCGCCTTCACTTCTGAGACGGGAACCCGCACACCTGGCACAGATCAGTCAGAGACGTGCCACATCGCCTTCACTTCTGAGACGGGAACCCGCACACCTGGCACAGATCAGTCAGCGACGTGCCACGTCGCCCTCACTTCTGAGACGGGAACCCGCACACCTGGCACAGATCAGTCAGCGACGTGCCACGTCGCTCTCACTTCTGAGACGGGAACCCGCACACCTGGCACAGATCAGTCAGAGACGTGCCACATCGCCCTCACTTCTGAGACGGGAACCCGCACACCTGGCACAGATCAGTCAGAGACACGCCACATCGCCGTCACTTCCCGGTCTGTCCCTGGCATCGCCGAGTCCCTTGCCCAGTCTGTGCTGGCGCACCGCTGGCCCCTGCTGGCGCCCCAGTCGGTGCTGGCGCACCACCGGCACCTGCTGGCTCCCGTGCGGGCACTCACCGTTGCGGTATGTAGAACATGTTATCTGTGGTGGGCTTCTGGAGTTCGCCCCGGTACACGGGCCACAGGCCGCTGAGGATGCGAAACAGGCTGCTCTTGCCGCAGCCGTTCGGACCTGCCGACAGAAACACCGGCGCACGTCTCTCAGTAATGTCTAAGGCAGCTCAGGCGCCGGCATTGCACCGGTACACGTCTCTCAGTAATGTCTGAGGCGGCTCAGGCGGCTCAGGCGCCGGCATCACACCGGCACACGTCTCTCAGTAATGTCTCAGGCACCGGCATCACACCCGGCACACGTCTCTCAGTAATGTCTCAGACGCCGGCATCACACTGGCACACGTCTCTCAGTAATGTCTCAGGCACCGGCATCACACCGGCACACGTCTCTCAGTAATGTCTCAGGCACCGGCATCACACCGGCACACGTCTCTCAGTAATGTCTGAGGCGGCTCAGGCGGCTCAGGCACCGGCATCACACCGGCACACGTCTCTCAGTAATGTCTCAGGCACCGGCACCACACTGGCACACGTCTCTCAGTAATGTCTCAGACGCCGGCATCACACTGGCACACGCCTCTCAGCAATGTCTCAGGCGTCTCGTGCGCCGGCATCACACTGGCACACGCCTCTCAGCAATGCCTCAGGCGTTTCGTGCGCAGGCACCACACTGGCACACGTCTCTCAGTAATGTCTCAGGCGTCTCGTGCGCCGGCATCATACCGTGTGAAGCTGAATTTTGCCGCTCCCGTCGCCTATTCCGTTACATTTCCGAGCGCTTCCAACAGCCCGTTAATTGCTTTATGAAAACGTGCATTGTCGCTGTAATGACCGTAAAGTGCACATGGTGGTAGAAAATTGGCTGTGGTAGGAAAACGGACTTGACGATAACCTGAACGGCAGGCGTACTTGTGAAAACCAAAACCACAAAAAAACACGAAGTACCGAGCCTAAAGCAGCCTCTTTTCCGGGACGCCTGGTAGTCCCTTCTTCGTTTTTCACAGAATGCGTCGTTGTTGTTGTTGTTGATGATGATGATGATGATTTGGGCTTTAGGGCACTCCGAGTACCCTGGTGATCTGGCGCCCATAACTTACTCTTTATTCAACAAATCAGTGACAACAATACGGAGGCAAGACTGCGCCAGATTTATGGCATGAAACTACATCTTCCAGGAAGTTCGTGCTAGCTTGCAGCTGCCTTGCTAAACAACAATAAATTGGCATGAATCATATCGACCAATACCCCGGAGACGACCGGCCCATGTCGAGTCTTGGCACTCAGTCGGCGCAGGGAGCAGCAGCTGTAGCCGATTTGTTACATTCCATCCTAAGCTAGCACCGCTATTCGGAACGACACGGGAGTTAACGGCCAAAACCGACCTGAGAGAGTACTTGAAATCACTAGCAGCGTGCATTTAACTACACCCGGGAGGCTAATTGTCGTTTGTCAGCCATCGACATATTCTCCGCGGCGGTGAAGCTATGCGGCGTCTGGGTCCAGTAGGTCAGGACGTCACCAAGCGTCCCAAAGCCAGGCCCAGGTCGGGATCGAGCAGAAAATAGCGTCAAGCGCATCTAGTAATCGTTATAACTGGTAGCCGAGAGGCAAGAGGTAATATAGCAGTCATGCCATCGCATGGCGCGGTTATGACCTTTTAGTATTGCAATATTCTTTTCAAGTTACGGAGATCGGAGAAGTAGGACATCACCCGATGTTATTTCAGAGTTACGGAGAGCGGAGAAGTAGGACATCACCGGATGCTATTTCAGAGTTACGGAGAGCAGGGAAGTAGGACATCACCGGATGCTATTTCAGAGTTACGGAGAGCGGAGAAGTAGGGCATCACCGAACATTCTTTCAGAGTTACGGAGAGCGGAGAAGTAGGACATCACCGGATGTTATTTCAGAGTTACGGAGAGCGGAGAAGTAGGACATCACCGGATGTTATTTCAGAGTTACGGAGAGCGGAGAAGTAGGACATCACCGGATGTTATTTCAGAGTTACGGGGAGCAGAGAAGTAGGACATCACCGGATGTTATTTCAGAGTTACGGGGAGCAGAGAAGTAGGACATCACCGGGTGTTATTTCAGAGTTACAGAGAGCGAAGAAGCAGGACATCACCGCGGCCATTCGGGCTATCACCGACCATGGAGCTTCCCGCAGGGAATGAAGACCGCCTGAGTGCAGCGGCTGGACGTAAACGCGTGTGTGGTCCGGCTGCACTACCATCCACGGCTCTGAGCTCCCACTCATTCCTTTTACAAACGACGTGATTTAAGACGCAGAGGGAAAGCGAAGCTAAGACTCATTGGAAAGTAGAATCTAGAGAAAAGCCGAGGCGGAGCGCCCGAGGCGTGGCACTGCAAACTTCAACAACACTTACAGGGCTTCATTACCTGGAGCGCACCCATTACCGGGTCTCTAGCAGGGACCCTCTAGTGGGTACGTTCCAGGTAGCCACTGATGGGTGAAGCACTGTAAGTGTTCTGGAAATTCCAGGTAAGTGAAGCACTGTGAATGTTGTTGAAGCTTGCAGTGCTGCGCGTCGGGCACTCTGCCTCCGCTTGTCCTTAGATTCTATTTTTCAACGAGTCTTAGTTTCGCTTTCCCTCCGTGTTTCTTCGTGTTTCCCTCCGCGTTTTAAGGGGGTCTCTAGAAGAAACCCTCTAGAGCCTTCCCAACATGGCAGGCGGCGATGCCAGCTAACCAACATACATCTATTTCCATACTGAACGAAACCGCCGGCCATCGTGACTATTTCCGTACTCGCCGCGTCATACGTCCGCTCTTTGCGCATGCAAATAACCTGCAGGCCAACGGGCCGTTCACGTTCATGTTCACGGCTCTGCGACCGGCACCTTGTCTGCGGCCGTGTGCGCATGCTTATTGGAGCGAGAATGCTCCTCCGTATCACGTAGCGCCCAGTCATGGGGCTTTCTCCAACAATGTTTGCTACAGGTAGGCAGCCGTACATGTGCATGTTTCAATAACATGCAAGACGCCCACCCGTTGATGAGCAGGTGGGTGTCACGGGTGATGGTGACGGTCAGCGAGGGCACCACTACGCCACGACTGCCCGCCCCTGACCCGCCCACTGACCGCTGATGAGCAGGTGGGTGTCACGGGTGATGGTGACGGTCAGCGAGGGCACCACTACGTCACAGTTGGGCGTGACGATCGGCACATCCCGCAGGATGATGGTGCCCTCGGCCGACTCCCGCACGCGCCCTGCCGATACATGACACCGTCAGTTAGCATCGGCTGGCTACAGGACGGTCAACTGCGCCGCGTCACCCGAACCAGTCTGCCAACCTGGCACCCTATCACCCCCTGTTGTGGCCATCTCCACAGCCAGTGACCAACCATCGCATACACTGACAGTTGCACGCAGCTTGACCACAGCACAACCGGCGTCGCGCGGGTTATAACGCACGCGCATGGCGCAAAAGGCGGCGCGGACGGCGCCCTCTGCCATCGGACGACGGGGGATTGACCTCGGATGACGGGCATGCCGTGCTCCATGGCGATGCCGTGCAGGGCTCGAGCTCCGCCGCCGGTGGCCACGGTGCGCCGGTACTGGCCCGAGCCCGCCTCCTCGAACACGGTCAGCATGGAGCCGACGCGGTGCGTGTAGCCGGCCAGCTCGACCACCTCCTGTAGGCGGCCAGACGGGAGGCGCCAGTCAGCGGGTCACGGCGCCAGTCAGCGGGTCACAGCACCGGTCAGCGGGTCACGACGCCAGTCAGCGGGTCACCACGCCGGTCATCAGGTCACGGCGCCGGTCAGCGGGTCACAGCACCGGTCAGCAAGTCACGGCGCCGGCCAGCGGGTCACGGCGCCGGTCAGCGGGTCACAGCGCCGGTCAGCGGGTCACGGCGCCAGGAAGCACGGCAGGCTAGGGGCCGACGGCCGGCCGCCGCTGTGGCCGCGGCCGGCCCGCCGTCACAGCCGGCGCGCAGTCATCAATACGCGGGGGGGGGGGGGGAGGGGGGCTGCCGTCCGGCCGCGCCGCCCGCACATTGACGCCGACTCTTCTGCGTTGTTACATTCATGTCTCTGCAGCGCATCACTGATCGCGCTTCTGCGTCTTATTTCCTACTGAAGCACCAACGTTCGGACGCGCAGGCGTACCGCGCGGGCAACGGGTCACCATAGGCACTGGGCACCGCACCGAGTTTGATGCGGAGACCCACGGCCGAATGGCGCGCATTTCACTTGTCCTATAGTGCCCACTGGGATCAGAGAACCGGTGTTGCAATTTCGAAGCGGCTCACGAACCTTTCGCGAAATGTACGGGAGCCTTGAGCTGGAACGAACGACCCCACCGATCCAGACCGTCACGCCAGGATGCCTCTAGCAGATTTCCCAAAAATGGGCACGTCACGGTGGAGTTTGCACTACCAGGTAGCATTATGTTTTAAAATGTGTCCAAGCGTTGTCTATTCGAACTGATCATGCGCAGCAAGCCTTTTCCCCGAAGGACTGCGTAATGGAAATCCCAGCGGACCGTATTATTACCGGTCCCGTACAGACGAGCACCAGCAAGACAGCACGTGTTACCACGATCATTCAGTCTCCGCTGATATCTCGCTGCAAACGTTGACGAACAGATCTGTCTGAGTCAAGTCACAAAGCGACACTCGCTGTCCAAAGCATAGGACATTGCCATTTAAACCTACGCTAGGTAATTCACATCAACTTAGGTGAATGATACAAGCGGCGTCTTACCTGGCTCGCAAAGGTAATTACTGTTGCATACAAGTAGTATTTCTTCCGCTAGTGCCGCCCAGCGGCGAGAATGGACTCTGCACTTAGCTACACGGCTCACTCGCTACCTGCCCCGAGACGCTTCACTGGCAAAGTATACTGATTTATATTGAAGAGCGCCACATGCGCACTCAAAGCAGCAAGCTGTTTATTCAACTCCCATGTCACCAGCCTGTTATGCCCCACTACGCGCCTTCTGTGTCTATGACTGGAAGGCAGGAGCTGGGTGACGGCCACGTACCTTGTATGACGTCATCAGCCGCTCGACGGCGTCGGCACCCGACTGCAGCATGTTCTTGGCCGTGGAGACGTACTGTGTGCGCTCTCCCACGCCGCCGTCCGTCTCCAGCTCGTCTGCGGCCGACGGAGCGGCAGTCAGCGCGCAGACACGGGGACCGAGGCCAGCGCCAGCGCCGGCGCTGAAGAGCTGCGGCCCGGCGCACAGCCCCCGGCATATGGGACCAACAGTCCGAAGCAACATAGTTCGGAGCAAACATATGTCCGTCTGGCTGGTTAGAGGCCTGTCTTCCGATGCAGCCGCCGTGGCAGCGTGGGCTCGAGTCGCTTCAGGCGCACGTTATTTGCACCTGACTAGTTCACGGCCAGTGGCGGCGCCGCGCCAACCGTCAGGTGACGCCACAAAGCTGGACGGACCGTGTCGAGCATTGCAAGGCGTTCGCTCCCGCTCATATGTTCATATATTTCGTAACTTTCCACAAGGTCCAGTGGCTTTTTAAAAGTTACACGTCATCATTGATATAAACGGGCAATGATAAAAGAGACAAAATGAAACTTAGTAAAAAATAGCCTAACACATCACACATCGGTCAAGGGATCGTCTCGGTGAATCACACTATTGCATTCACATTGTGGCATAACACACAATCATACTCACACACGCACCCACTCATGCGCCAACATTCGCCTCACTCAGTAGAAACTCCATAAGTTGGCGCTTGAAGCGGCCTAGACTCTGATCATCTGAACCGCCGCAGAACTATGCCGCTGCCCCCCCCCCCCTCCCCCCTAATTTTATGGTTGGATAATGGGATGGGGGCTCGCGCAATACGAGCTGCTCAGATCTGGTCCCAGCAATCGCTCCAATCAATGGCCTTGCACTGAACCTTACGTAATAATGAACACAAATCTCTGCGCTCAGACAACTGCCCCGCCTAGTCAGCGTCTGCCGATGCTTAGATAGACGGTGCTCAGCTCTGCTGAGCGGTGCTTAGATCGGCGTCCGCAGCGGGACTGGGCGCCCGCTGCCGCCGAATGGTGGGGCTGACCGTTAAGCGCCGCAACAGCAGGCCATGCTCGGTGTTTCACCGTCCCTCGATCCCCGCTCAGGCAGCTTACAGCTTGGGCACGCCAGATTGCGGAAGACGTCCGCGGAAGATGATTGGCCTGGTCGACTTAGTATAAGCGAAGACGACCTCGAACTCCTGTTTTCTCCGGCATTACGAGTCAGAGAGTCCTTATGCTGGTCGTGATCTCCGTTTGCATAGCTTGAGACCATAAGCGCGGCTTAAAACGTGAGCATTGAGAATATGAGCAATGGTTGCTTGACAGCATCCTTAGGCACCAAATCGCAGTATAATGAATGTCAGCTGTCAGCACGGGAACACTGGACTTATAAGGCGTGTTCCACATTTACTTATCCGGCTGACATCGCATGCATTGTGAAGTACGTTTACATTTCAATCGCCAAGTGAAGCGAATTTCAAAAGTTCACTGGCAGCTTGTCTTCAACTAACAAGCCACGACGGCAGATTTTGGAGAAATAGTCCCGAGCAGTGCCTGCAGTTCGAGCGAGTGCTACTTGAACAGTCCTAACTTGTTAACCTGAGCGTTGTCGCCATCACACCATCCAGCAACTAATATATTTGCGTGCAATGATCCCGGCTTGACGCAAAGTTCAACAAGAGGCGCAGCTCTTCATAACTGCAGCGTCCGACGAAAAACGACACGTGCCTCCCACCCTCATCCCCCGGACTTTGATTAAATTGGGTCGCAGGGGTTGCCATCAGCGCTTGAGTCGCTGGTGACATTTTTAAATATCCCAGTTACACCATTGCAGAGTAGTAGCCTTCGACAATTTCGAGTTACGTGATTGCTACGCTATCTTTGAGGACAATCTTTTCACTTGTGTGAAAGATAATTCGGCAAGCCTATACGTTAAAATTATCAGACAACCGTGCTGAATACTTGTATGCCACTGCTGCAATTGTCACTGCACAATAAACAATAACCAGGGCATTATGAGCTTTTGCAATGCACGAAGAACAATTTTGCAGGTGATATTGATCCTTTTCTCATTTGCGTGTGAAAGAGCGTAGTTCCACCCCCCAATTTTAAAAATGAAAAAGGTGATTATCTGCTTGGAAAGACACGGTCCATGCACCAATAAATCTTGCTTAACGCACGCAGACTGGGTGCGCGGCGCACCGCCGCAGTTGGCTGCCCTCTCCCCCTCTCGTATGTGTACTGGCGGTGCCGGGGCAACTGGGGTACGAGAGGGGATGGGAAAGTAAGTGCGTACGTATATGACAGTGGGCCAGTGCCTTCAGTGCAGCTGGGGCGCGTGGTTTTATTGGCAGTGTCTCGCGACAATGAAACGCTCCGACAACATCCCATTTGGGAAAACACGAGAGCGCGGCGAGGTTTTAAAGGGTATGCCACCTTGTCTGTACTTTCACAGATTGTTGGATCAGACGCGTCCGATGTGATCGGCAGTGCCAGTTTTCTCGAAATCATTCTGAACAGCTTAGAATTCAATTTGAAGTAGTCACTCCTGCGGGACGACCCTCATTGGACCCCTTCCTCGCCACTATGAAAGTGATCTCTTTTATTTGCATTGCTTTTCCATGGGGTGTGTTCTGCCGTGTGAGCAACACATTCATTTGTCAAAATGCTAGCATAATAAATGCTACGAAACCTTGAAACAGCTAGGGCAAAATATATGCAAACATGAGACTATTACCCCCGCGAACACTGCGTCCTGATGGGTGGCAGCGGCACCCACGCGGTTTGCCTGTGCTGCTATCACTGAAACGCAAAGCTGGTGATTAGATCTCGCGGACTGCGAGATGTCACTTAAAAGGACGTACTGAGTCACGCCGTGTGCGATGTTCATACAAATCCTGCACAAAGTAGGAGTGTGACAATTGTCAGCGTTTAGGGAGGTGCGCGATCGCTTCTGACTGACGCAATCGACGTGCAAGCAGGGCACATTTTTGATTCCGTCAATGAAATCAGATAGTCAGTGGATAGGCACCGACCGCTACACTTTAACTGGACTTGTTCAGCCAATGGATCGGTGTTTGACCAGACTGTCGGAAGCCATCGTTGCAGTGACCACACACCACTTAACGGCCTAGCAGCAGAGATATTTTTTCAATGACCTTTATAAAAACGACTGCCCGAGAACAGAGCTCTGATCATTTTAGACTTTTCCAGAAACTACCTTTCGTCGTCCAGGACTAAGCTCAGCAGTTTTAGTGGGATGAACCGCAATGCGCGCTGCATTCTTTCGTGGTATATTGACCAGCACCTGGACGGACTAAATATGCAAGTTATTGCGCGTTGTCAAACGCGATGAAACCTAACGCTATTACGGTCCAAACATATAATCAAGTTCCTTTTATAGGAAGTGTAAAGCCTCGTTTCAAATATGAAAATTTGTATTCCTTTAAGATAAATCAGCTGCGCAGTACAAGAACAGGCTGAATCATTTCGACATTTGCTTTCATGAGGACTTCGGAGTGAAGCGCAAGTGGTATTACGTTGCCGTATCTCATGAGAAGAGCTCTTGGGACATGACTGTGGACCTTGAAAACGGTTGCTGCCAGTGCCAGCCTGTCGCGCCTCTCTTCCGATCATACTCTCTGCTGATAAGCTGGGCCAGTTCTTGCAGGGCAAGACTCGCGTGCAGACGGTATATTTTTTCGCACCGAAAGAAGTCCTTCTGGTGGAGGACGATCTTGGCATCAGATTGGCTACAGCCAAGACTATCAAAGGGATGTAACCCGAGTGAGTGCCCAGACTGCGTTGCCCGTGAATAAGCTTCAGGTGTAGTGAGGGAAGTAGCGGCGCTCGATTTAGTGTTGATGAGTTGGAAAAAAGTGGGACTGAGTCACTGGCCTTCTGAGTCTTGTACGTGCTTGCGAGCCATCGTGCTGTTAAGCTTAGTGTTGTGTCACAATGCGCTCATCTTCCGCCGCCCGCGCGGAGAGACGCGTGGGAGATACTTCACCGGTAGCCGACGGCGTGGGAGATACTTCACCGGTAGCCGACGGCGTGGGAGATACTTCACCGGTAGCCGACAGCATGGGAGATACTTCACCGGTAGCCGACGGCGTGGGAGACACTTCGCCGGTAGCCGACAGCATGGGAGATACTTCACCGGTAGCCGACGGCGTGGGAGACACTTCGCCGGTAGCCGACAGCATGGGAGATACTTCACCGGTAGCCGACGGCGTGGGAGATGCTTCACCGGTAGCCGACGGCGTGGGAGACACTTCACCGGTAGCCGTCGGCGTGGGGGACACTTCACCGGTAGCCGACGGCGGATGACGCGAATGAAGCGTGGCTCCTTGTTGTGATATTGTCTCCAAACCCTTGCGAGCCGATAGCCACCCTCTCCTTTTTTATTTGAGATTACGAGATCCATACTACGCTCTTTTAATGCTAATGAGCAAAGGTTCAAAATGGCGTAGGAAAATGGTTATGCATGTATTACAAAGTTGCATAATGCCACAATCAATATTTTTCAAACGATGATGTTTCAAAGCACGACACACACGTAGTCTGAAAGGTTATTGTATCATTTTGATACATAAGTTTGTATGGTTTTCTTTCCCGGCGGTGAAAAAATCGCCGCCGAACGTAGCCCTTCCACCCGACCACACGGAAACGCTGGAAGCACCAACTCCGAAACCGTTCTACTGAGAGGTCTGAAAATGTCACAGCCGTCTTTAGCGCCACTGGCAACTCCTGTCGCCCATTTTTATCAAAATCCGGCAGATGGGGTGTAAAATTGCCCCTTCCACCTGTTGATTCGTCATGGAAAGCCCCAGCCGTGTACACTTTTGGAGTGATAAAAATGCCCCTTTTGTAAGATTATGCCTGTTCTTTCCCGGTCAAATGACATTGGTCCCGTGCCGCTGCGAAGCCTGGTCATCGGCACTGGTCAGACCTGGCCTGGCCCGCTTAACTCTCAAAAAACACGCAACAAAAACAACCAGTTCAATCAGGTGTAATTTCCCTGCATTAGGGCGATGTTAACGAAGATATGGTCTCTTCCATTTCCGTAACACGAGGCACGTTAAGAAAAACGCACCGCGAAAAGGCAGCACAGGGACGCGGACGGGTCAGGATCTCCGGCAGGTCCTTTCCGCAATACAGGTCTTCATTTTTCTCTCTTTCAGGCCTTTTCCAAAACCGAAGGAAGTGGATCAAATCTGGGGAGACATCGACTTTTGTGTGTTTCGGTGTCAGGTTTGGCCATATTTCACCGTCCATGCCTCCTCGTCCCCTCCTCACCTATTTTGCGAGACTACGCCCCTGCTGATCGGAGTGACAGAGGATGTCAGGAGGCGCGGAACAAACGTTCCTAGGCCCGGCACAGCGAATCATCACTCATCTCGCCACCGCACATGGTGCGTGAATAATGCGTTAGTAAACGCCACAGACATGCCGCAGTATAGGGCATAACAGGCGGAGCCGATGATTCTCTCCCGTAACCTGCCTACGAAAAACTAACTGCCAGCAGATGGAAGTAGCCGTCCACCAAGCACCAGGCCAGCCAGCGCCGTGTCCTGCCTCACCTGTCTTCTTGTTGCCCAGCAGCAGCGGCAGCGAGATGATGACCATGCCACACCCGGACCAGACGTACTTCATCAGGAACTGCTCCACCATCACGTACCACAGCTTGTTGCGGAAGATGATGTTCATCTGCCGCATGAGCGAGCGGTACGCCCCCTGGAGGATGTCCATTTCCACCTGTCGCAGCGGCCGTGCTCGGTCACGCATCCGACTTGAAAGACCTTACCCAACACGGCCGCCCGTGGCCCGTGCCGGCCCGCCCCGCGTGTCCATGCAGGACCAACGACCAGGCCTTGGGGTCAGAGCTGGCGGCGCTTCGGCACAGCCAATCTTGAAGGCAACCAGTTAACACAACAGGCAACACGACGCCATGTGAAAATGGCGCGTGAACTGGTGTGTAAAACGCCCAGTAGACGCATACGAACATCCCCCAACTGTGGCTCGCCGGGAAGTCACTGCATTCTCTGCGCGGTCCTTGCTTGCCGCCGTCACGCGTGCGTTCAAATGAGCCATCGCTACACTGCCCGATCTTGGGCTACTTCGCCGGACGGCGCTTCCCCTAGCGTGAGCTCGTGACCAAGAGGCACCCAAAATGCTTCGTATCCATCTCGGACATAACATGTGCACAATCACGAGTTTTCTCGACGGTGTACGGAGATCGTCACATTGGCATGATATGTCCGGCAGCATTTTCATTATTTCCCAACGGAACGAGGAAGTCCTTCGTGTAATAACCAAAGAACGGCGTCGGGGTGCCGACTCCTTAGGTTGCTGAATGGACGTTACTCGAATAACGCATGCGTTATTTGATTTGGTATTTCATGCCAGGGCCTTTACCGACAGGGAAGTAACAGGGACTAGCACAGGTTTCCATTCAGGTGTCACATCATCTCATATATGCCGTAGCTACTGTATTTAATGATGACAAATGGGGCTTTACAGCAGACGACGTAGGAGGCTTTCTTGCTACTGCGCTAAACTTATCTCCACAATGAAAGAAAATGGACGCATACGAAATAAACAAGATCAATAGCGTGGCCTTCGGTGTGCCACACAAAAAAGAAACATGGCGTGCGTGTGTTATCGCGCCTTGAACTCTGGCTCTCTCCAGGAGAGATGATGCGCCTTTTACGTGCCCCAGGCCGTCGCAAGGCTTTGGCAGGACTTGCAACATTAAATTCAGGCCATATGCTGGGAGCAGTGACTGAAACATATTAATGAGCTCCATCTATTTCCCAAGTCAGCACGATTAGTTCGGGGTGCCGGCGTGGAAACTGTCCGTAACTTGCTGTATTCTCCGGGTCAGTGTGTCCGTTTAAGAATACGTGTGGGTATTGTATGTACTTCACGCTCATTGGAGACGTTACCAGTCAGAGAGACTGCTGTACCGAGCTGAATTTCCCCAACATCGGTTTGACAGGAACTTTTTTGGAGTGGGTCCGTGCGGTGTGGTGCCATCATGGCGTAGCTACGGAGGCGACACAGAAACAATACACACTCACTGAGGTCGTAGGTACTGCACAGTCACACAATCATGGCGTAGCTACGGAGGCGACACAGAAACGACACAAACTCACTGAGGTCGTAGGCACTGCACAGTCACACAACCATACATCAGTGTCGGCGTCTGTGTGCGGCAGGTCACTCTGGTGCACATCATGAATTTCACGGGTCTGGCCGGACTTACATATATGCATCAGACACGGGTGACACGGATATGCATCTGGCACGGGCAACACGAATGTGCCTCGGACATGGGTGACTCGGATATACGTCAGACATAGGTGACCCAAATATGCGTTAGACTAGGGTGACACGGATATGCGTCAGATACAGGTGACAGGGATACACGCCAGACAAGGGGTGATACTGATATGCCTCAGACATGGGTGGCACTGATGCGCCTCAGACGCGGGCGACACAGATATGCGTCAGACATGGGTGACACGGGTACACGCCAGACAAGGGTGGCACTGATATGCTTCAGACATGGGCGGCACTGATATGCCTCAGACAAGGGTGCCACTGATGCGCCTCAGACACGGGTGGCATTGATATGCCTCAGACAAGGGAGGCACAGATATGCCTCAGACAAGGGTGGCGGATACACGCCAAACAAGGGTGGCACTGATATGCCTCAGACATGGGTGGCACTGATGCGCCTCAGACACGGGTGACACGGATATGCGTCATACACGGGCGACACAGATACACGCCAGACACGGGCGACACGGGCGTGCGTCTCGCCAGACATGGCATCGGGACTTGTTGCAAACTGTGATTTGTCAGCTGATCATGGCTCAGGTTCACTGCTGCTGGTCCCATAAGCATGGCCAGAAGCCGACCTTGGAAAGCTAGAAAATCTGAGCGCGACTGAACGCCACCCAGCGCCGCGTCGAGCGCCTTCGAACCAAGACGCACGTGCGATCGGCTGACGGCAATATCGCCCAATCATGAGCGCTGTTATACGCGTTATGAATGGTTGTCTTCGTGACACATCCATGCTCTATTGCATATCATATGGCACGCATACGGCGAAATCCAACGACCTTTCTTTTCGTTCGAACTGCTAACCTAACCGACGAAAAGGGAACCAGTCGATACCTAACACATGATGCAATATAATGGGGCCAATGTAATTTTTCATATGCTTGTACCTAAACTCAACACTTGCGCAGAGGAAGGCGTGAACAAAGCTGTTTTGAAACGTTGAAGTGAACAACACCCGTGGAAAGACACATATCCCCAAACTTCCACATTTTAACTATCAAGACGACTGCCTTCCCACAGCCTGCTAAAAGGACGACGAAACCAATGCCGGCAATGAATTGGGCATGCCATGATTGGGCAAATGAATTTTTGGTTGTTCGGTAATATCACGTCGTGCATTCAAACAACTGCCCCAATCGTACTCGAACAACGCGAAACGAACCTGATATTTCAACATAAACGGGGCGATGTCCCAACCACTAACCACTAACCGCACCATTGGAATCGACTCGATACTGTGATGAGGAGAACTGAACGCCCGTTCGGCCAAAGGTTATGCGAGCTCAGTGCTCGCTGGATTGGACCCAGTGAGATAATCCCGATCAGGCCAATGCGTTTGCCCAGGTCTTGGGCATTCACCCGAAAGTTCGGAACAACCTGTCTTTGGCGCCCAGGAGTGCGGGGGGCAGCCCATAGCTGCCTGTTGACAACACTGCAAGCCTCTGAGGTCTGCACGGCCCACACGCACCCACCGCCGGTCCGACAGGGGGTGAGAATGTCACCTGATGGCCGCCGTAGAAGGCGATCTCCTCGGCATTGCTGATGACGCGGGAGTGGATGTAGCGCAGGTAGCCCTTACGGTTGGCCTCCTCGGCCACCAGCTTCCCGAAGGGCGGCGAGAGCAGGCGCAGTATCTGACCCGTCAGGCCGATCACCAGGCCGGCCAGCACCATCCCTGCCAGTCAGCCGAGGGCGGACCCGTGTCAGTGACACCACCCCCGCACACCGACGAGCACCATCCCTGCCAGTCAGCCGAGGGCGGACCCGTGTCAGTGACACCACCCCCGCACACCGGCCAGCACCATCCCTGTCAGTCAGCCGAGGGTGGACCCGTGTCAACCACACCACCCCCCGCACACCGGCCAGCACCATCCCTGCCAGTCAGCCGAGGGCGGACCCGTGTCAGTGACACCACCCCCGCACACCGGCCCAGCACCATCCGTGCCAGTCAACCGATGGCGGACCCGTGTCAACCACACCACCCCCGCACACCGGCCAGCACCATCCCTACCAGTCAGCCGAGGGCGGACCCGTGTTAACCACACCACCCCCCGCACACCGGCCAGCACCATCCCTGCCAGTCAGCCGAGGGCGGACCCGTGTCAACCACACCACCCCCGCACACCGGCCAGCACCATCCCTGCCAGTCAGCCGAGGGCGGACCCGTGTCAGTGACACCACCCCCGCACACCGACGAGCACCATCCCTGCCAGTCAGCCGAGGGCGGACCCGTGTTAACCACACCACCCCCCGCACACCGGCCAGCACCATCCCTGCCAGTCAGCCGAGGGCGGACCCGTGTCAACCACACCACCCCCCGCACACTGGCCAGCACCATCCCTACCAGTCAGCCGAGGGCGGACCCGTGTTAACCACACCACCCCCCGCACACCGGCCAGCACCATCCCTGTCAGTCAACCGAGGGTGGACCCGTGTCAACCACACCACCCCCGCACACCGGCCAGCACCATCCCTGCCAGTCAGCCGAGGGCGGACCCGTGTCAGTGACACCACCCCCGCACACCGACAAGCACCATCCCTGCCAGTCAGCCGAGGGCGGACCCGTGTCAACCACACCACCCCCGCACACCGGCCAGCACCATCCCTGTCAGTCAACCCGAGGGGTGGACCCGTGTCAACCCACACCACCCCCGCACACCGGCCAGCACCATCCCTGCCAGTCAGCCGAGGGCGGACCCGTGTCAACCACACCACCCCCCGCACACTGGCCAGCACCATCCCTACCAGTCAGCCGAGGGCGGACCCGTGTCAGTTGACACCACCCCCGCACAACCGGGCCAGCACCATCCCTGTCAGTCAACCGAGGGCGGACCCGTGTCAACCACACCCCCCCCCCCGCACCACTGGCCAGCACCATACCTACCAGTCAGCCCGAGGGCGGACCCGTGTCAACCACACCACCCCCGCACACCGGCCAGCACCATCCCTGTCAGTCAACCGAGGGTGGACCCGTGTCAACCACACCACCCCCGCACACTGGCCAGCACCATCCCTGTCAGTCAACCGAGGGTGGACCCGTGTCAGTGACACCACCCCCGCACACCGGCCAGCACCATCCGTGCCAGTCAACCGATGGCGGACCCGTGTCAGCCACACCAACTCCGCACACCGGTCAGTCACGCCCCGAGGCATACGCGCACGTGACGTGGGCGCCAGAGGACAACGCGCGCCGCTGCACAATAGCCACCGGTGCGGTTTAAGTGAAATCGAGACGATCAGGACCTGAACATAGAGCAGTTGACATTTGAGCACTGTTTAACTTCAAAGGAAGTAAGTGAATGGGCGCACAAGCCGACGCGGGCGCAGTTCCAAAACAAGCGTGCCAACGCCTGTGCACTGCGATGATAGACCAAAACTCATGCTGGAGTCAACCTATGTCGATGCACAGGACATTTTCATTCCCATGGAATGTGCAACCCATAGATCACGGCGGATCTGTTGCGGTAATGAAATACAGTTTTACGGCCTTCGCGAATATCCGTGCTAGGTTACACATCTCTGCTCAAATAAAAGCGACACCAATAACAGGCATCTATATCATGAAATATCGTCGCTGAGGCAATCGTCATCACATTGCCACATCTACTGAGCGCCGGTGCCAACGAATACTTACCTCCCCCCCCCCCCCCTACGCCCATCCATGACCGGACCTACCTCCTGTGGCCGGCGCGCCCCACCCCGGGCCGCCGCCCCGCCCCGCCGCCTCACTGACCGGGTACGTTGGCGCCGCCCCCGGCTGCGCGCCAGCTTGCCGAGCGCCGTCACGATGATGACGATGTCCAGCAGCGGCTTGGTGAGGTGCGAGTAGAGGTGCGCCACCGAGCTGGTGAAGGCCGTCACGTCGTCCGTCAGGCAATGGTCGGCGTTTTCCAGCCGGCCGTCCAGGTTCGACACGCGGTAGTACGTCTGGTTGGCGAAGTACTTGGCGTACGCGTACTTGACAGCTGGCTGCGGAAGGCCAGCGCCAGCTTGCTCTCCAGGTAGCGGATCATCGAGTTGGTGTAGGTGGCCGGCAGCGCCACGCACAGCCACCGCAGGGATCATGCGCGTGAAGTTGACGATGTCCTTGCGCACGATGTACTTGATCATGCGGGCCTCCAGCGTCGCCACGTACACGGAGAGGAACGTGCGCGCCACCAGTGTGCACGTGTGAAGCAGCAGCAGCGCACTCTCGCGGCTCAGCACGCCCGGCACCATGATGCGCAGCAGCCGCAGCAGCTGGCTGGCGAACTCCATGTTGACGCTGGCCGACTTGGCGGGAGGGTGCGCCGGCCGCGCCGGGTCTGCCTCCGCGCCGCGGCCCGGCCGCCGGTAGGCGCCCAGCCAGCGCCGCAGCAGCGCCAGCAGACGGCCGGCCGGCCGGCGGCCCACCTTGCAGAAGTAGAGGGTGAACACCAGGATGGTGGCGAGGCGCGCGAGACTCGACTCACGCAGACCGGTGCGCTGCGCCAGTGGCGCCAGGAACTTGGATGACACAGATGGCATGGTGACCTATCTGCAATGGCAGATATGGTTCTGACTGTCCAAGCAGGCCACAAGACACACAACCTTACAGGCACATGCATATGCCCCTGACAGACTCACTGTGTTTACCATTCTGATCCTTTTTCTAAGCAGGACAGAGTTTGTTGTTGATTACAGTACAATGTTTTGGAATGCCAACAAACATACAAGGGGACAGGATGCCATTCTGCTATACCTTGCCAGCTTTGGGAAGTCTGACAACAACTGGCTCATATTATGCATATGTGTCAGAAGTGCAATGGATGTCTCTATAACCTGACAGACAATGAATAAACCATAACCTTTCTGGTACTGAACACATAAGATAAGTGGGCAGGTAAAACACAGATTATTTATCACATTTGTCTTTGATATGGATCACTGGTCCCCACTGGATGTCACCATCCATTTGACAAGCTGCAACAGCCAGGGTTTAAGAAATTGAGCCATTTCATCCTGTGTGTCTCCATCAATGTTGAAAATTGAGCTGACAAGTTCAAAATGACCATAATGTAAGACATAAGTAAATGACTTGTTATAACAATGCTTGCCTTACCCATGCATATATAAATTTAAAAACCAGATCATGGCTCAATTTAATAGCACCACTCAAGTGTTATGGGAATTACTTATCACAGTCTATCTACAGGATGCCAAGGAATCAAAATTTTGAACCTAAATTTCCAACTTGCATTCACTTTGGCTACAGTATTAGCCCAAGCCTGAGCCATTGCTTATCTGATCCTATGTCCAATCATGAATCCAGGTCAGCTGTAAAATAATCATAACTTGCATGAAACCATATGTCAACTGACTGCACGGTCATACTTGACACCAAGCCTAGCCATATTCTAATCCATTCCTGGCACTATGCCAGTTTGATCAGAACATACCATGAAATAGTTTTACACTGCACTGAAATGCACTGAACAACTTATGAAATCATTCTTGATCAGTTATAATTTCAATTCTATTAATACCAATGACCCTTGCCACCAATGAGTTCCACAATCAAATCATCGTAGCCAGATTATCTGTTCAAAATGTTTTGCCTTCTGCACTTTGTTTTGCTCTTCCTTGTTTAGATCTTTTGAGCTTATTATGAGCAATCTCAAAAGTGTAGACAGTTAAGCAAAGATTCTAGAACCCAATGGATGTTTAAGTTGGGCAGGTATGTAGATAGTACTAAGCTCTTGATAGCATTCCATGTGAGGGATATGGGCATGCTACCTTTACAGGAACATTAGTACATAGTACTTGCCAAGCCATGCCAGGCATGCAATGCATAACATGCCAAACACTTACATGAACTATGCTTAGAAGTTTGAAAGCCTGTGTTACTTTTCTGGCTGATGGGGCTACTTGTCTAGTCCTGCTCTTCAGGACATAAGAACTGAAACATGAGCCAGTCTGCAAAGCATGGAAACATGCAAACATGTTTTGATCACACAAGATGCTTTGGGAATGCTGTCCAGATAGGATAGTGCCTACCCTCCTGCTTGTTTGGGACATATTTATTTTAATCTGCTCCCCTCCCAACAAATGATAAGGCATCAAATTTGGTCATTTCCTGAAATCTCAAATTTTATACATAATATAATATTAACATAAAATTGTGATGTTTTTAACAGCCTAGTTCATAATTTTTCACACCAATATTTTAATAAGATGCCCAAAACTAGAAGCTGTGACACTCGTATGTCCACATGATCAAAATCTGGCATGGCTTGCATACTATAACATGGATAAAGGTTATTATTCCTTTGATGGGCCTCAGCTCAGAAAATGTTTTTAACTATATTAGTTGACCAAATAAAATGGTAACAACAAACTGCTATGAGATAATGTATTATTTTTGTTTGTTGCAAAATGCCATCATCAGTCACTTGAGCTTATCCAGATGTTGCAGAGTTAACTATATCAGATCTATTTTCTACTGTTTGCTGCAATACTATTTTGGACCATCTGTCACCTCTAAACAATTGGGATAATATCAGTGATGGTCCTTACACTCACCACTAATACATAATCTATAAATGTGGGCGCTGGATGATTGATGCTGATCTACATTTTGTATGATGCCCTTGAAGTTTATTTCTTATGAGTTATATTGTCTACATAACATATTCTGCTTAAACCACACAACTGGCACAATTCCAGAAAACAGCATAAAAGTCAGGGCCAAAATTAATTAACCCAACTGAGAATTAACAAGCATAATTGAAGAGGGAAGAGAAGAGCATTTTCAGTGCCAGTCAGCTTAACTATGAAAACTATTTCCACCTTTATGATGACCATTTGCGGTAAAATGGGTATGCCAGTACATCCAAAATGTATATATCAACTCCAAAAATAATTTCATATGCTTCAGACAGAGCCATGGAGACACGTTTCAAGCCTTTCATGCCACTTGCGAATGAATTTGAACGTTTGTGCACCCCCCCAATCATCTTGGCATAAAAGCGTTTATTTTATCTCGTCCCATATCCGCACATTTGTGCGACAATATACGAGTACGGTTGAAACCTGAGGAACACTGTCATAAAACGAGTCCTCATATTAACAAATATACCTGTTTTCCATCCGCGATACGATCACGAGATCCCACCGGAGAAAATCCAGCGCACCTAGCGACTACCTCACACAAATCTTCTCAAGGCCGTTTAACATCTCTCCACACCCTCTCCCCCGCGCATTACTGCCCTATCGCCCAAGTTGATATATCTGTATGGGTACTTCCATGCGGCTTCGCACTTTTCAGCAAATATCATTATATGACGTCATCTGCGGCGTAACTTTAACGCGGGACGGCCGCACGATAGGTACGGGAGATGAGCGAAAGAATGCATTACAATACGTTTGGAGGGTGGGTGAAATCATTCGTAACAGCAAGACAAAGATGAACAAATCAATAAACTTCACAGTTAAAACATCTTATTTGACGATAATTCTAGAGCCGCAGCGGTAACATACAATCCAGAGATCAAGCGATTCGAGAGCGATCCGCCGTGTTTTTCGCCAAAGAAGCGCTCAGCATAAGAAATTATTCATGGCTTCGGAAGCACCAGATGGACTCAAAACCGCACCCGTGGGTTACGAGTTTATTCTGCGCAACACAACTGACGCGCTCAGATGGACTTAACCGAAGCGAATCCATCAAACTTCTAGGCCCCAGTTGGCGTTTGGATACAATCCCGGCCGGGCAAATCACATGATGGGACAAAATGGTCGGATATCGGTGTAGCCCAGGACGATTTACCGAAGTGAATGCGCACGTATCTCTCGCTCTCCTGACAGGGATGTATGTGAAGATCGGTCGGGCACAACAGCATAAGAACCTAAGGTGTCCCAAAGGTTTCGGCCGTGAGCCCCAACTCGAGCCTGGCCAGGCACATTGGCGCACCTTCATCAGACAGGAACAGCCGGGTCCATGCACACTGGGCTCAAAATCCTTTACCGAAGCTGCGCCTTGACGGCTGCTAAATTCATGACGTAAAGGGTATCGCCAGTTTGCTCCATCTTTGCCCAGCAAATACTGGACACGGTTTGCTCGGCCCCAAAACCAATCTTAGCCTATTCACCCCACCGCCGACCGTGCAACGTCATCTCGTCAATGCGGAAGAAGGAGATGCACTCCAACTGGTCCATCGTTTCCTCCGCCAGCTTCAGCACTCAGAGTGGCGCATGAATGATGCCTGCATCGAGCTGAAAACCATGCATGCACTTTGCCAGCGTGCTGTTTGAAGGCAGGGGACGTTCACGGTATGCTGAGCGAATGCATAGGTCTTCCGGCTGACGGAGCGTAATGCGACAGTTTTGGCGACACCTTCCAGGCCCTCCATCGATCCCTGGCCAATCGATTCTGGCTGAGTTGCTAACTTGAATAAATGATTGATTGATTGCTCAATTAATTGATTGCCGTGAATTTCGGCATCCCGAATAAACTTTGGCCTATCACTATTCATTGTCAGCAGATAAATGAACGGCCAAAAGATCATGGGGACAAGGACAGTCATTCAGCAACGAAAACGCAATGAAGCACACGCACGTGCACCTCAGTCACGACTCCGCCACATTGCACCTCAGTCACGACACCGCCACATCCGGTCATTGCATCCTCAGATGTCCCACGAAATGTCGCTTCAACTGACATAGGAAATAGACACATAGGAAATAAACAATGTTTCAGATGCTATTAGGCTGATTGAGGTGAATCATGTATCAATAGAGCGAGGCCGACCAGTCATTATGTGTAACAGCCATTTCCTAGATTTTACCTCGCAAGTATTCCCCTGAAATCCACCGCCGCGGCCTTACTGTCGAAGCCTTAGCCTCACTTAGCAGCCTTACTGTGAACCTGCCTACCCTGCCGAAGGGCACTAGACTGATAAGCCGGAATGCGCCATGATCAGAAGCAACAGGAACACATTATGCACATGTAATTTCATCGGATTAGGTCGGCCCTCGTCCGAGTTATAAGCCTCACATTATCCTTCCTCACATTATGGGATCGTGAAA